TAACAGTTTGTCTGCCTCCTTAATATGTTTATTGTATTTCATCTGGATAAAGGTAATTCATGGAGGTAATTGTAAGCCAGGCTGATGGATCTTTATAGAGTTCACCACAGCAGAGTTGGCTTTCGCAGGGCTTTTTGTCAGCAGCAAAGTGGTCCCCTGAGCAGACCATTAGCCTGGGAGCTCTGTTGCTGTCACATTCATGATGTGAAGCAAACAGTGTATTTGTCTATGCCTCAGATTACCAGCCTAAAAAACCTGGGAATGGGAACAATTAGCAATTTCCTACTGACCTCAGTCATATCTGTAAATGAGAGCGTAGTGTGAAGCCTTACTGTGGGTATGGGTGGGACTGTACCAGTTTATAGCTTCTCTCGGGGTAAAGACTGTTTGCAGTAGGAATACAAGCAATGAAAGAAAGGTTTCAGCCAAGTTTCCCTCAAAATCTACCAGCTGTGAGGTTACTTGTACTGAAAAAAGTTCCTTGAGACAAATGGCAAAATCTCAAAGTATCCTCAGCAGCAGTAAGTCAATGTGGTGCATGAAGTAAAGCAGGTTTGCTCCAGAGCATGATCCATTTCTTTCTCTGCTTTGATAGTTAAAGCTCTTGAGAGTGAAAGAGCTTAAAGAGTGCTTCAGAAGAAGACTTTTGTTCTTGGAGAAGCCTTGGCTTTCATACTGAATGAATGTTTTCCATCTTTCATTTTTATGAATCTGGTACCTAAAAAGGGCCTACATGAAAGCTGGAGAGGGGCTTTGGACAAGGGCCTGTAGAGAGAGGACAAGGAAGAATGGCTTTATCCTGCCAGAGGGGAGATTGAGATGAGCTCTGAGGCAGAAGCTCTTCCCTGTGAGGGTGCTGAGGCGCTGGCACAGGGTGCCCAGAGGAGCTGTGGCTGCCCCATCCCTGGCAGTGTTCAAGGCCAGGTTGGACACCGGGGCTTGGGGCAACCTGCTCTAGTGGAAGGTGTCCCTGCCCGTGGCAGGGGGTTGGAACTGGATGGGCTTTAAGGTCCCTTCAATCCAAACCAGTCTGGGGTTCTATTGTAG